TACTTTGATCAGTTTTCAGCATTTGTGTCCTTGCCTTTCACGTAGTACAAATTGCTTTAGCAGAGCAGCGGGGCAGGAGCCCGTGGACTGTTTTTGTAGTTGGTTTCTGTGGTGATCCTCAGCCTTCCATGAAACTGATCTCTGGGGACAGGAGCCTCTGCAGCCGCCTTAACCTTGCTGCTGCTGGAGCCCTGGAGGAGCTGTGCAGAGTGGGCAGCCAGCAGTGACCAGCAGGGTCTGGCTCAGCAGTGCCAGCAGAGCTTCGGTGGGCGCTGTGCCCATGGAGGGCAAATGCATTCCAGCAAACAGGACACAAGCTCGGGGCTTCACAGCCCCCTTGGACCTGGATGCTTTAAAGAGGAATGTGCAGGTTTTGTTCTGAGATTTTCAGAATAGCTGAAGTCTGTCATTTTCAGCTATGACCAAATCCTTGTATTCCTCACAAGTTAGTCATGTATTGTTTGGAGGAGTGTGTGCCAAAGGGGGCCAGACACCAGTCTGAAGAGGAGCTTCCTCTGACAAACAGCTGCTGAAGTTGAGCCTTGCTGAGAGAGCCATTGCTGACACACATGCCCAGAAGGTCTGGCCTAGCTATCGATTGCACAATGAAAATGTTGGCTGTGCAGCAGCTTTGTGATCAGATGAGCCCTTCACTGGGAGTGAGGAATGTGTTGGACCACATTGACTTATTTTCCTGCACTGTTGTGGTGCTGTCTGCTTGGGTAATGTACTGTCTCTTAATATGTTTTTAAAGTAATATGGACAAAGTAATAGCAGCTTTTTAAATGGACTAGGAGAGCTAAAATGCCCAAGTCCATTTAATGATTCTGGTTTAATTTTCTTTTGGTGTTGTTTGACCAAAATGGTCACAGACCTGCCTGAGCCGCAGAAGACTTTGAATCAAGTAGTATGTTGTTGAGAAATACCAAATGTGTGTACCTTATAAGCTTCTTTGAAAATCTAGGAATGGGTGGAAGATGTCCCTTTTTGGATCTCTGATTTATTTTTTTTTAAGCTTATGTGGGAGTTTTAGAAAAAAGTTAGGAACTTTACTACAGAGTTCACAGAGTTCAGAGTTTCGCACTGTGTCTTCAAAACACTTTTTGCAGCACTGAACACACATAGGATTAGTTTCTGATGGAGTTTCTGGGCAAGACTTCCATAAATATTGAGTAATATGAATTTTGCCAGTGAAAATACAAAAAAAAAGGGAAAATTTGTAGTTATCTCTTGTGCTATTAATTAGAAACTTTTTTTTTCTGGTGGTTTAAAGCAATTGAGTATCTTTCTATCAATTTGTATTGTGTTCTAAATGTACTGTGAACTGTAGCCATGAGAAAGGATGTGTCTTGAATAGCTCTTGAGCTACGATGAGACTGAAAGGTGTCCAGGGGAGGGGGATCACTTGGGACTCTGCTAATACATGGTATCACTAGAGCCACAGTGGGGACACTGCAGCAGAAATGGTGTTTTGTTGAGATTGCTGTAGGGAGAGTAGGGATGTGGATCTTTCTGTGCAGTGCTGTGGATGGAGGCAGCCATGCCAGAAATTAGCAAAGGGACAAGTCAGTGGGAGCACAGCTGTGACAGCAGAAAGCTCAGCAAGGCACAGCTAAAGAACTTGTGCTTGTGTTGATGTCATAACTTTTAACACCTTAGAGTCCTGTTAAGCCTTTCAATCTCTGAAGCAGGAGTGGGAAGAGGCCTCTGATGCATATTAAAAGTCCAGGCTTTCACCTGGACTCTGCAGTTCAAACCACCCTCCCTCACATGACCACCTCTCTGGTGAGCTGTTCTGACCATGCCTGCTGTACTTGGACTGAAATTTCCCTGTGATACCCACTGACTGTAGTTATGCAGTGTAAAAAACCCAATGCTTGGCAGCAGGGTTTTGGTGTAAAGATCTTGGGTGCTGGTAACTCCCCAGCAGTTTGCTTGAAAAATTTGAAAAACTTGGTTGAAAAAGATGCATTATATACATCTTTAATTTTACAAGCTGAGGGAATAGCAACTACAAAGTCTGATAGCAGACCCAGTTGCGAAGAGTCTCTGATTTTCTCACTAAGGCAGTATGATTGCTCTGTGTGCTCTCATGTGACTAAAACAACAGGAAGAAATCTTCATGAATTCTAAAACATCCATCTTGTTTGATAGATGTTGGTTTTGAACAAATTTGTCTGAGATCAGTTGAAACAGAGGTACTTCTCCATGTCCTTATTACCCAAAGGACTTGGCCTAGCTATTTCTGAGATGAAGTTTTCAGTGTGTTGCATGTATTGTATCATTCCTGCTTTTAATAAATAATGGAGGTTTTAAATAGCAAAAATTTTTTGAAGCTTCTAATAAGAGCCATATCTTTTACATTGACTTGCCATTCTGACAAAAACACAGCCAGGATGCAAGCCTAAGCTGAGTCCTCCTGTTGGCCAGTGCAAGAGCATTGTTACTAGTTTTTATTCTTGGTTATTTAGGCACGTTAACTATATTATAAGGAATTTCATCAATATCTAGCATCAAAGGAAATCAGTTATTATTTAGCATGGAAATACGTTGGATGCACTTTATGCCATTTGAAGCTAAAAAAAATCATCATGAAATTTGAGCTCATATTTCTGAGATCAGAACTTCAAAAGATATAACTGGACTATTTTACTAAACTGAGATTACAGTGTTTTTATTGTTTTGTGAGAAAACATAAGCCTAGAACAAGGTAATTACATTTAATAGTTTTAACAGCTTATTATTAATTAGCAGTGATTATAGTTGAAAAGCCACAAGAATTAATGAAAGCTGTTTAATTGTCATTAATTTAATAGTAGTTCTAAACACTTTTTCCTTTTTACTTTCATCTCTCCATTTCTAGACAGAACAACAAAGCAGGAGTCTTGTAAAATGAATTATTTCTCTCTTATTTTCAGGTAACAGAGCTACTTTGGCTCTATAGCTGATAGACCAAAGCAGTTTCTGTAGCTAAGAATGTGGTTTGGCATTTCAGGTCTCTGTCCTCCCATTAGAATTGAGAGCACTACCACCCTGCACTTTGCTGAAATGAGAAAGAATAAAATACTTTAGAGGCAGAAAATAGAGGGAAATGTGGTTCTTGGTAGTCTGTTGTACTTGGTGTTTTCTTTATGAGATGTGTTCTGTGCTGGAGAGGCCAGGTGGTGCCAGAGGTGGCTGCGGGAGCAGGAGATGGCACTGCCTGACCTTCCTGCAGGCAGGGCCGTCACTGCCCAGCTGCTGCCACGAGAGGAGCTCCTTCTTTAGGGCACCTTGGCTTTAGTACAAATATCGATCTACTCAGTTTTCCAACAACTTTAATCAAGCTTAACAAAGAGGAGGACAGGGATGTCCTGGGTGCTCCCAGAGATGTGTGTGTGGGGTGTGATGTCTGTCGCTGTGGGGACTGGAGACACCTTTGGTCAGTGGCATTTCAGAATTTGGTGCAACCAGTTAGTGTGAGAGCACAGCCAGCTGTTTGCTAGCTTTCTTGCAAGTTCTAAAGTAGTGATGAAAGGTCTTTCTGCTGTCCTCTGGATGTCTCAGACCTGACACCAGGGCCTGGCTTTGACTTTATAGTGAATGGTGAACTTTTCAAGGTGAAATAAAAAAAAAAAAAAAAGAAAAGAAAAAGAAAAAAATGCAAAAAACCAACCAATCAAAGAAAAACACCCAAACAAAGCAAAAAACCCAAACTCACCAAACTAAAACCACCCTACTGTCTATTTTGGAAAATATTTTCAACAGTAATCGGTACCTAGTTTTCAATTTGGTCTCTAGCTTTCTTTTAGCTAGTTTACTGGATGAATCTCCGTTTACTTTACTGGTAAACTAATGGTTGTTTGCCACTATATAAGAATCATGCAATGAACTATACATAGTCCCTCTTCTCTATCTCAAATATCCTTTTAATTTCTCTAGCAGGATACAGAATTAATTGTGAATTATCTTTGTCCTCATTTCTGTTTGCTGCCATTCAGACTGGTGGTTGTGTTCATGTTTGCTTCCTTTTTACTTTTTATAGAAAGAGCTGTGATTGTCAGGGAACTTGCCTGTCACCAGTGTGGTGGGACATCAGCTTCCCTGCTCAGTCTGGGATAGATCATCTCTCCATTGCACACTAGAGGTTTCTTCTGTAATGTGGGATGAAGTATCAAGCTAAATCCTGACTGCTTACACAGCTTATTAGGTGCCACAAAATCCACTGTAATATCAATTGCAAGTCTGTATATGCCAAAAAAGGCCAGGCTGTGCTGTCTTGTGTTTGGTTATGGTTTTGTCCAACACTGAGCCCTTTCTAGAAGGGCAGTACTGGGATACGAGAAGCTGGGCAGGAAGGACTTCCAGCAACTGCAAACTGGTTGTTTCAAAGCCACTTCTAACAGGTTGCCTCACTTCCATGATGTCCACTTTCCTCAGATCATTTACCCTGTGTATCTTTTTAACCTCTGAGCACAGGCATTTTCTTTCCCTAGTGTACGTTAAAATTTCTTTTGGAATTCCTTCCATAAAGTAATGTAGTGCTAGCTTGTGTTTCTGGATTTGTTCCTCCTGGATTTTGTTTGTTTAGTTTTATTTGTTTTGCAGGCTAGATTTATGCCCTTAACAGAATCAGCAGATGAGGTTTTATACTCTAAGCCAGCCTTGTAGACTACCATCTAGAAACCAGCGATCAGAGTTTGCTTTGCAATTCTTTTTATCTCCTTGTTCTCCAACTCTCAGCTTAGTGGTTTGACCTTTTGCATAAGATATTTTTCATCAGCATTTGCCAAGGTTTTCTTTTTAGCAGTGCTCTGCAAGCATAGAGCACAAATGTTAACTATTTCATATTTTATTTTCTCTGTGCTCTGTTGACTGACTTTTGTGAAAGTAGATTAGTCTTTAATCTTGAGTCAAGAGGTCTGAATGCTAAGAGTCATAATATGTATATATATAAATTACCTTTGATTCATTGTTTCAAATTCCAGGAAGTATTCACATATTTCTGTGTTTTTCTGTAGGTCACATTACATTTGAATCCAATTTCATCAGTGCATATTCATCAGAAGCCTCTGGTGTTTCTTCTCAACTCTCCTTTGCCTTTGGTCTGGAAACTAAAAACAGAAAGATTGGCACCTGGAATCCGAAGAGTTTTCTTTGTAAGTGTACACAGTCCTCTGGCCTGCTCTCTGTCATAGCTGCTTGTCACATAAGCATGGAGTTAATGGTATTCATTTGGAAAATTTTCAAACTTAAATTTAAAAAAAAAAGTTAAAAGAGGGTCAAGTTTCATTGTAGGGCTCTGGGGAACAGTTAGATGGTAGGGCAAAGCAGTTTGGAAAAAGTAGCCAATTACTTTTTATGTGAATTTAAGGAAAGGAAAGCAAAACTGCTTTTCAGAATCTGCACGTCATACAACTATTAATACTAACAGCCATTAGAGTTCAAAAAGCTGTGAGGTTATAGCAGATTGGAAGTCTAACAGTACCATAAAGCAAAAAGCCTCAGAGCTATTGGAAATATTAAGAGTGGATGCTAATTGTGTGGTCTGTGACCAAAACAAAAATTTGTATCTATTGATCTTAATATGTCCAGCTATGGTTTATGTCTCTGATGAAGTTTTGGTCTATTGAAATGACCAAGCTAAGCCCAGAATGAAGTAATTTTTATTTCTCAGAAAGACTGGAGCACTGCTTATAATGCAAGATCCAAATATTACCTAGTATTTGTAAATCATGTCCTTACAGTTTGCCAGGACATTCAAGTTTGCTATTTGTAGTGAAACAGACAAGTTGTTTGGATTAAATTTTTAATGCATGACATCATGTCTAATCATGAGTTGTCTTTATGAAAGTTGCAGCTTTCACTATATTCAACTCTAATTGCAGAACTAAACTTGATTATTTTTAGCAGTGTCCTTATAGGGCTTAATTTTGCTCCTCCAGCACAGCTGACAGTGGTAGGCAAGATTGTTTCTGTAGCACCCAGGGGGAACTCAGCTGTGTCACTGTGCATCAGCAGGACAGGAGGATGCACTGTGGTGCAGCATTAGAACTCTGAGAAGGGACACTGCTCTCTCAGTTGACCTGGTGTGGTGGTGACATGGTGGAGGGCACCAAGAGTTCTGTCACTTGCTGGACACTACAAGCTTTCTGGAATTGTTTTTCTTTTTCCTGTCATCAAGCTGTCATATAAGAGTAGGAGTAGCCTTGATATTTTGAACTTCAAAGGACTCAGTCCTGTTTCCAGTGTATTACTGATTAGTGCAAAGAATATGGCTTTGTTTTTATTCTAAGGTATTTACAGTCTTAGGTTTTTCATTGGTGTTTTGGAGACTCGTGACTGTTATCTTCCTGTTGTGTGTCATTAATGCAACCAGTACAGTTCTGGTCTGCTGAGGAAATGACTGAGGAACAACATGTGCAACAGCAGTGTAACGAGTCCTCATTCCTCTTGTGGACAAAAGAAGCAGGATCGTTCATCAGATAATAAAGCCTTGGACTTACTTCCAGTTTAGTTTTGATCTTCTCCTACAACACATCATCACTCCTATTTCCTATCAGCTAGTTTTTGTTCAGCTAGTTTGTGTTCTTCCTCTGCACCCAGGATTTTCCCTCTCCCCTTATCTTGCTCAGGGAATGGAGAGATGGCCTGCTGACACTCAAGCATTTCTGCTCAGCTGATTGTGCTGAGCTTGCTTGGTTTGTCTCAGTGGGGTTTCAGCAGCCTGCATTAAGGCATAGGAGGAATAGGGATGTGCCTGAGGCTCTGACTGCCAAAACTGTACCATTAGATAAGTGTTTGCTGCAGAAAACTGTTTCAGGTGCTTCTGGTTATAAGCTCAGGCTTGAAGAGGTGAGCAGCAGCACTCATGGATCTTGCCAAGCAAGAAGTTGCCTGACCTCAAGAACTGCCATGGTGAACTTGGCCACTGATGCTGCAGGGAGGGGTGTACTGTTTCTCAGGTGGGGCAGGAATACCTGGTAGGCACTGCAGGTTTGCTGCAGTGTTGGGGGGACTCAAATCAAATACCTCCTCTCACAACTCCAGCTCTTCATCTCTGCTGGTCATGGTAAGGGCTGGATGCTGTGGTGCCGGGTGCCATCCTGCCAGCCTGTGATGCTGGGATAATGCTGCTGCCCATGGGACCTTGCCTTTTTGTTGCAAGGGACTGAACTGGCTCTCAATGTTAACCCATCCCTAATCCATCTGAATAGCTAGCTCTTCATAACAATTTTGGATCTCCTTAAGTGCTGTAACAATTTCTTTAATTTTCCTTCCACCATGTTAAGGTTTCTATTTTTCTTTTCTACAAAGAGCTCAAAGAACAAGACTGCATAATGCCAGCATACTGATCCACCTTTACCTCTCCCAGTTTAGTGTCTGTCATCCATCTCACTCCTAAAGTTCACTTTGTTCTTTCCCTAAGGTGATGTTTTTGCTGTAAACATAAGCTAACTTCAGCCTCTTACCCTGGATTCATCAGCCTTCCCACTTTTCATGGCCCAGTTTCTCAGGGCATCTCAGGGTGATAAGCCATGAGGTTATGGGCTGAACAACTTTAAATGTGGTCACCATCTGTTGCTTTTCCTCAGTTCCACTCTGCTCACAAGGACAAATACATTGTTTTCCCAAAAGTTTTCTGAAAAAACAGCACAGAATCTGGTGGCACAGAAAACATGAAAAATGTGGAGGAAGTACTGGCAGCACCTGTAGGCAAGTGCAGTATGCCAAACAGAGATCAAGGGGCTCTAGTTCTGCAGAGAGCTGTTTGGCTGTGTTGAGCTGTGCTAATTTGCATCCCCTGAGTTTCTGTGCTAGGAAAGGTTGTCCTTTTCCAGAATCAGGGGTTCTTGTTTTAGGTAAGCTGTGGGGCAGAGGGACATCCTGCTTCTGCCCTAGTTGCTGAGAGGTTCCCTGCCTCTGTGCCAGAGCCTTCAGTGAGTTCCAGACAACTGACCCTAGGACTGTAAATAGCAGCTCCAAGGGCTGCAGAGTGCAGAGCATGCTTCCTTAGCCCTTGTTTAAAAATACTTAGCTCTGTGGCTCTGACTTGTTCAGTCTCCTTAGATGTATAGCCAGAACAGAAGATTGAGTGTGTTGAATCATAAAAGATTTAGAATTAGAAGAAACTTTTCTAGTGCCCATGAACTCCATGGCAAGCATACCACAGGAGTGTCATAACTATTGTGTCTGTCTCTATGGAAGCCTCAGGCAAGATACTAGTTGACTTTCCAGCTTTTCCTTCAGACTTTCCAAACAATACATTCATTCACCATTTTATTAATATACTGTATGTAAAGTATGAATTGCAATGACTTTCATTGATTAAATCCTGGTTAGAGTGGTAGGTAGTGTAAAGAAATTTAAATGACAACTTCTGGGACTTGCTGCTGATAAAGACCACACTGCTAGAACCAGATCCAAGTTTGTAGTGAAATGATCATGGAACCATTAGTCAAGTCCTAACTCTTTATTTCTTTTTAATATTAGCTCTTTTTTTCCTTATAAAGTATCATAACGAAGTTCTCAAACTGTTACAGGGACGTGTGCTTTGAGCAAGTAAGTAACTAAATAAAAATCAAAAATTAATTGTATTATAAGTTTCAAGGTTATTTCTAACAAAGGTGACTCCAGGATATGAGCAGATGATGAACTGGATCACAAGTGCTGTTAGCACTGTACAGGTGGAGAAACCAAGGCACAATGAGCTTGAATGGTGATTGTATTTGAGAAGAGGGTAGAGTCAGGGCTGTGTGTTCTCACTGGCCTCATCAGCAAAATGGTCTGTTTCCTTCATTCTGTGAATTTATTGTTTGAGTTTCCATTAAAGCTAAACTGTCCCAGGGAAGGATGAAAAGATTTAAAGCTTGTATCAGCACATATCCAAAAGACTGGGAAAATACAGTACTACTGAGTAGGGCTGGAGTTTAACTTCTTATCACATAGTTTGAGCATAGATTTTTTGCCTTCAGCCTGGTCCTCCATCAGTTAAGAAGCTTAAAATGAATGTGGGAGAAAATCCAGGCTTTGGGTGCATGGTTATAGTATGGGGGAAGCACAAATTACCTTCTTGGTAAACATTTTTTCAGGATGGACATGTAGATTTGGTGTATATGTGTGGTTTTGCATTTATTTTTATCATGTAATGCAGTTTCATGCAGTAATTTATGTGCTTTATCTTCATGGAAACAACTCATGTTTTCATTTTCACAAACTGCCTACTGGTGGCTAAACTCACAGTGGAATAAATTGTCATTAAAATTAGGTAGCATGCCCAGATAAACCAAAGTTTGTATTGGGTTAGCATCAGAATTTCTTTAATCAAGAGTTTTTTCCAAAGTGGCACTGAGTGGAAGCGCAGTGATTCTCTCAGGGTGACAGTACTTTGAGGGAAGCCATCATGACAGGGCATGGCTGCTAAGGGCTATAGGAAACTATTCTGTTTCCTATGTTGTCATTTTGCTTCTCAGGGTGCTTCCCCATCTATAAGTCAGAAAGAACACTAGTGAGTAGTCTTAAGAGAAAATTTAGGCATCTTGATATAAACCTGACAAAAATTTTCTGTGTGTGCACAAGAAAGAGAAAAGAATATATGGTGTCTACCTAGTGTGGTGTTAACAATACATTTAGCATGGACAGGTTATTTTCAGACTCTGCATGAGTTGCTGTATATTGATGGGTGAAGTAGGTGATGCTGTGAAATTATTGTAATTCTAGTAAAATAAGCCTGGAGTTTATTTTCATTGTGTTAAAAATAAATGTACCTTAGTATCATGGCATTTCAGTCCAAAAATACCTGAAATGGGTTAGTGCATGGACTGCCTGGCCTAAGTAACTGTAAATCATCACTTCAGTTCCTGGTGCATGTAGTCATATTGGTCTGGTTTTATATTTGTACATGTCACAGAAATACAACAATTTGGGAATTGGGCCCTTTCTGTTCAAGTGTTTTTGGGCTCATCCCTCTCAAGAGTATTGCATGGGTTGGAAGCTCTGTTCAGTTCAGCAAGGGGAATGCTTCTCATCTGTGCTGCATTTTTTTTTTTCCCTCTGCAGGGAATAAATGCCAAAATTGCATTATAAAGGGGAGGTGGAGAGGAAGTTGAAGGACATGTTCACAGGTGATTAGACTGGTTAGATTATGACATTGCAGTTT